TTACTCTCATTGAGTAACATAACAGAATATGTTACAAAATACATTTTGGGGCATGTATTCTGTATTCATGTATTCATTTTAAAAGTAACCTTCCCAACACTGCTGGCAAGTTAATGTGAAACCACAAATAAAGACATTCAGTGTAAAACCTTCCCCACATCTAATGAAGATAGTGCTCAGAAGTACAAACAGAGCTGAGAGGGGAACACATTCAGAAAAACAATGAAACAGCTTCTCTCTCTGCTAGCAGATTTGTCTTCCACAGCAGGGTTAATAACAGAAACAAAAGAGTTTACAACATTCAGTGTTTACAACATTCAGCTCCACCTAACTTGTGTTTCCAATGATCCAAAAGCTGACCACCAACTCGAGTAGAACTTATTCCAACCTGGGCAGCGAGTCCATCAGGATTATCCAGCCGAGATCCAGCCAGCTCTAACACCCACTTCAGAGAAAAAAAACCTGTGCAGTGTGGAGCTGTCTGGATAAAGTAGTCCTACCCCAGACAGGGGAATTCAGCAAGCTGCCAAACTGTACAGGTTATTCCAGCAACCAGTACAGAGAATCAGCCTGCTGTTGCCTCCCTTTCCTCAGCAGAGCCCATACAGCTTGCTCGAGTCCATCAGAAACAGAGATGGGTCCAAACCCACGCCCCCAAGCTGCTGAAGAATACTGCACGATACCCTCCTCCACACTAGATCTGGGAGTCCTGTAAGTAGCCTCTGAATAAACTGAAAGCAAAAATCAGCACCTCTACTGCCCAAATGAACCAGACCTTGTCCACCTTCCTCCCTAGGTAGAAAAAGGACACTTTGAGGAATCCAGTGAAGCTTATCCCCAAAAAAGTCCGCCAGGATCCTTTAAATATAACTGGGGGATCAACACAAGACCACCGGTGCCATGGAGCGTCCGGGCAGACTGAGCTGATTCCCCAGCTGACCTCTCACGGTTATAGCCTCACTCTTTCCCAAATTTATTTTGGCAGAAGAAATACAACCAAAAAGAGAAACTGTGTTCCCTAAAATCTCAATATCTTTCTGTGTGTCGACCAGAACAATTAAATCATCGGCATAAGCTGACAACTTTAGAGATACATTGCACCCACCACACAAGACCTGTCTTAATTTGTGAAGCAAAGGCTCAATTGCCTGGGAATACAGCATCCCTCACAAAGAACAGCCCTGCCTCACCCCCTTAGATCATTGAATGGACCACTTAAGACTTAGTAGTTTCAGTACACTTGTAATGTCACAGTACAGAACCTGAATCATTGCTACAAAACCTGGGCTGAAGCCAAAAGCAGTTAAAGTTTGCCACAAATATTGGTGTTCAACCTATTCAAAAGCTTTTTCTTGGTTTATAGAAATGAGACCAATATCTATGCCCAAAGCTAGGGAGGTCCAAAATATCTCTAATCAAAGTGATGTTTTCACTTATCAGCCCGCTGGGCACGCACTATGTTTGGTCTCCATGAATGACAGAAGCCATCACGTCTCGAAGTCTGGTGTCCAGGACTTGGAAAACATCTTATAGTCTATACAGAGCAATGAGACTGGTCTCCAGTTCTTCAAATTGCATAACAGAGCGATAACCTCCCTTCTACAGCTCAGAGGTAGCAAGCCTCTCTGCAGACTATCCGTGACAACCTCCAGAAAATCCTCACCCATCAAAGACCAAAAGGCTTTGTAAAATCCAACAGGACCTCTCACAGTTACTCATCCATGCCAGGAATTCTACAGTCTGAAAACTAATCAGAGCAGTATAAAGTTCATGCAAAGTTGGCTGAGCCTCCAATTTTCGATTGACTTCAGCCGCCACCTGAGGGAGTCCCTTGAAGAAACTATTGCACAAACTGGGATTTTCTGAGAAATCACTCTTAAAAAGGTCCTTATAATAGCTGACAGCAAACTTCCTGATCTCAGAAGGATCTGAGATTGTGGAGCCACTGTCAGACATTAGAGAGTGAACAGTCTTTCTTTGCCCAATCTTCTTTTCCAGTTCAAAGAAGAAGTGAGACGGGGCATCCATCTCTGTGACACTGAGGAAACATGACCTGACCAAAGCCCCTATCTGGTTATGTCTCTCGTAACATTACGAGTGAAATGTTGACACAATTGTTTGACCTGACA